ATTGTCATTATATTTTTCAGAAAACATGCCGCTATCTCAGGAACTATGGTAGCTAGAAAAACGCATGGAAAAGCAATCGATAGCTTTTGAACTCTTCTTTTGAAAAGGTCATTATCAATATTGTCCTCAGGTCAACGGTTTAGCCTCCAGAGGGCAAAAACTCCAAAAATAGCTGTTTTTACGAAAAGTGTTTTTCGACAATAACTTTCGACTACAAAAAGCCACGACATTTCTATTGCCAGAATCGTGTTCCCCTCACCGAGACGCGTCGAATGAACTATAATTTGACCTTGAAAGGTCAACTTAAAAATTTAACCTCAAGTCAAGGTCATGACCTGACCGGAAAAGGTCATGTTGCATATCAGTCGATGCGTCTCAACAAGACAAACACAATGAGACCATCCCCAGCGTTCTATCTCTTTCCAATCGCGAGTTATTGGCAAAAAACTGTTTGTAGCCTCAAATGACCTCGGATGACCTTTCTAGAGGCTATCAGCAAAAATGACACCTTGGTCATCACGAGTGGACTAAATCATTGTGATTCTGAAATAGTTGGACTGTTCCTATGCGTACACACGGATCTAGAGGCATTTTCATTTTCTCCATTGACTTGTAATGGAAAGGTCATGCCACTGACCTGACCTTAGGTCACGGATATAAAAAATCCGAGATATACAAATTGTAGGCTCCCATAACAGCATGCAATCCACCAAGTTTAAAACCTTTCTGACAAACACTGCAGGCTGGACATTATTGCAAACTTTTTTTAAGGCTTGGTCAGTTAACTTGACCTGGTGACCTAACCTGACATGACCTGGGGTAAAAAATTTCACACATTGTCCAAAATTGATGTACCAAAAGCTACGCCAAGCGGCGCGGCGCTACGCGCCGCGGTTTTTTATTCACACGCGAAAAACGCGACAGGGTGGTAACATATGCCCCCCCCCACTGGGGCGAAGGTTATGGCAACTGAAGATAACTGGGAACGAGAGAGGTACACATGAATGAAGAAACGGCTTGATTTTGACGACGATCGGGCATGATTTTGAAAACGACTCAGGACAGAAGGACATCTGTGGCAGTGGACACCTAAAGCCGACTGCATCTGAGGACAACTGGGAGGGCAAACCTTACCGTCAGTACCGAGCTGCGTTCGCCACGGGCCCCAAAATCCCAGCCCAGCCCGGCCCGGGCCCATGGGTTCAGAGCCCGGCCCAGCCCGTAGCCCGCTCTTGGCAACATGTCCAAGCCCAGCCCGGCCCGGCCCGTCAAAAATAGCAATCTAGTTATTGTCTTAGTCTATTGCTATAATAAGCATGATTGATTAACTTTTTTGAGAACAATTCAAATTGCATGAATATTAACATGACAATCATGACTCCCTTCTTTTCAATGAATATAATCATTTTAAGTACCTATGGCACAAATTTTAACAGTAACAGCAAACACCTCAGTCAATTAGGTCATGATTACACACCTATAAAAAGTTAACATGATTATATTAACCACATTCTATGAGTAAAGTTATCTTGCAAGCTGATGTGTGTGAACATTTTCATGCATAATTGGTGACTCTAATGCATACTTGAAGGAAGTATTTGCAACTTACTCTATACTTCCCAGCACTTACCAGCAGAAAAAAGCTTGACTTATGGGAATTGATGAATCTGCCTCATGTCTGGGATTGACCTTGCTGTTAAATTCACTCCATTGATGCTGCAATATCAAAAGCCTGAGAAAGCATACAGAATAGGTGACACTAGCTTTAGCACTGTCTTCCAAAAAAGAGAAAATCCATCCATTTATCAGCAAAACTGATTTAATCTATTTTCAATTCATGCCCACGTGTCAACCGAAACTCTGTAGACAACTATCTGCTTTTTTTTTTTTTTTTTTTTTTTTTTTTTTTTTTTTTTTTTAGTGGCCCTAACTTACGTTACCGGCCTCGCGAGGAGGGCAGCGACCTAACTACGCCGCGCAAAACAAACCGGCCGTCCTAACTAAGACCGGTGGCCACTTTTACAGCAAGACAACATGGGAAAACCCATATCCATGTACTATGCCATGAATATGGGAAAAAACCCATGAATTTACGTTAAGACACATAAATGACAGTGAAACTTACCGGTAAATTGATGTTTGTGAAGGGAGGGAAGGAGGAAGTTTGTGAATGGTAAGGTTACGAGAGTTTGATGACAGGAATGGTTTGAAGAGTGGGGGATATGTCGCTGGGAGGGATGGGGTTTGTGAATGTTTAAGCGTCACGATGAAAGGAATGGTTTGGAGGATGGGGAATCTGTCGCTGCTGCAGTTGGCGGCCGACGGTTGTCTGTGGTCGTTCAACCCGGCCGCCGCCGCTGTTCAGCGGCCGGGGTCCGCTGGTGTAGCTCGCTGGGCCGCTGAGCCTCTAAGCCTGCTCCAGCGGCAGGAGAAAACCCGTCTGCCACCGAAGCTCTGTGTTTCGGCACCAGCGAAAAACCCGACCCATCCCGTATCACAAGTCAGCCTGGTGGTAGCGAAACGGGCGCCTGCTAACAGTCAAGGCCGTTAAAGTAGCTCTGAGTAGGGTGATGTTAGGACGAAATCAAGTACCAGGTTTGTCAATGTTGTGTCGTCCCCGAGAAGCGTCGGGAGGTCGTTTTTAAGGTGTTGTACCGCAAGATAGTTAGTGATGTGTCTTCGTTCGTGATGCAATGCCGTGCATGCGATCAAAATGTGCTCTACGGAGATGCGTGTGTCGCAGGTGTGGCAAATCGGAGGGCCCGTCCTATCAAAAAGGTGGCCATGGGTGAGGCGAGTATGACCACACCTCAATCTGGCCAGGGTCACCTCGCGTATCCTGTCTGGTTGGTTACATGTGACCCATGTTCTAAGTTCTCGTTTGATCGCATACATATGTGCAGCATGATGTTGGTCCCATTTGCGTTGAAGGTACTCGGCGAATTTGATTTTTATCATATGAATAGCGTCCCCTTGAGCCATAGGTTCCACAACTGGATCAGGTCGCATTGCAGCCTCCTTTGCGAGGACATCCGCACGTTCATTTCCTGCAATACCGTAATGACCTGGAACCCAAAGAAGGGTCACATGCTGGCCCTCATTGAGATCTGATGTGATCCTGAGAATATTGTAGATACCGTGGTGGGTAACATTATCGGTCCTTTCCAGTGCTTGAAGAGCGGATTTCGAATCAGTACAGATGGTTGCCCGATCAATCTTTTCTGCCTTGATGTGCTCCATAACTTTTTCGATTGCGTGAACTTCGGCACTAAAGACTGTCGTAAATTCTTGAAGCCGGGTCCCAAACCTAAGCCCAGGGCCGACGGCTGCTGAACCTATCTGATTTTCGTGACATGAGCCATCTGTGAAGAAAAAAGCAGAGTCGCAGTTGAGCTCTACATACTCCTGGAAGAGCATTTGAGCTTCCACCGGAGGTATACTGGTCTTCTTATAATCAAAAAGAAATTCAATGGATAGGTCTTTGAGGAGCCAAAATGGAATCATAGGAGGATTTAGAGTAACTTCAGTGCGCCTAATGTTTAGCAGTTGATGAGCTTGCTCAAGGCACCCGGGTAGAAAGCACGATCTACGCAGTGGGCGTCGGGTTCTTGGTTTCCTCGCCTCCATTGCTGGTACCGCAATGTGATTTCGAACACTTTTTGCTCTGTAGTAATAGCGGAGGAAAAGAAAGACGCGTCGGTCATCAAGTGCTGGAATGCCGGTATCTGCACGAAGCGCAAGAACTGGCGATGTGCGAAAAGCCCCAGTTAGAAGTCTCAAGCACGTTGATTGAACGGCTTCTAGACGTTTGCATAAACTGGGCGACAGTGTGCTAAACAGATAACAATTGTACTCAATCGTAGATCTGATTAGCCCAATATACAACATTTGCAATGTTTTCCTGTCCGCACCCCAAGAAAACCCACATATGCATCTTAGGACATTGATTCGTTTAATACAACGTGCTCTTAGGTGCTCAACGTGTTGACGGAAGGTTAGATTAGTATCCAAAATGATCCCTAGAAATTTGTGTGACGTGGAAAAAGGTATTTTAATCCCATCGATGTGTGGGGATCTTTCAAGCGATGGACGGGGTCCACGTTTGAAGACCATCATGACTGATTTTGGTGCTGACAAAAAGAATCCCCATTTTGTGCACCATTTAACGCAGTGATCAACCACTGTTTGCAATATAGAATAAGCCTGTTTGTAGTTTTTGTGGGATACCCATATTGCTATATCATCAGCAAAAAGCGAATAGCGGACAGAAAATGTTAGAACACGTGGCAGGAGTAGGAGCATATCGTTCAGGGCAATCAAGAACAGCGTAGGTGACAGCACGCTGCCTTGAGGGACGCCATGTTCCATTACAAAGTCGTCAGAAAGTGTCGCTTGGCAACGAACTTTGAAAGTTCGGGGTTTTAGGAAATTTTGAAGAAACGCAGCCAAATGGCCTCTGATTCCGATTGAGTGCAGCTTATAAATTATCGTCGAACTGTGTACCTTGTTGAAGGCTGACATTAGATCTAGGAAAATAGCAACAGTCGGTCGCCTATGTTCCCAGTTTACCTGGATGTCCGAGATAAGACAACTATCTGCTGCTTTCCTTGCTATTTTATGTTAGGATCTTTTCAAGATATGGATATCGCTAGCAGCGTAAGCAGAAAACATGGTAAGTTTGAAATGTCATTGGGTACTTTTGCGACTTTTACGCATCATCATCATCAATTGAAAATGAGCGAACACTTCTTGATTGTCGCAGCTGCGGCAGGTAGCGATTCTGACCAATTGTATAATAAAACATATATAATCAAGTTCTTATTTTGTTTTTCGTTCGAGTTTTCAGACTTCGTGATCTAGGTTTTATTTTCTATTTGTTTCATTTTGTTTTTCAGCTTGATACTTACTAAGAAAACGTATTTATTTGATATACTGTTGTGTATACGAGTAGTAAAGTAATCTTGGTGTATACTACCACCTATAGATGCCGCCACATAAACATAGCGCCATGGGCGCCATGATCGTAAATTTTGTTGAGAAGGTTCTGGGTTGTTGTTGTGAATTATTTTGACAAATTTATGGACATTTAAGGAAGCTTTCATCGCGAAATACTCTGTAGTACCTCGTTACTTACAGTGTGTTTCGTGAGTATCCTTTTAAGGTTCTGTTCGTTAAAAAGCCGTCGGTGAAGGAAAAAAGACTGTGTTGGAATTGTCTCACTATCGCCATATATAAGTATTAAACTTGATGTAGCCCTGTAGCCCATCATTGTTGGGTGGCTTCTTAGTTTTTGGAGTTGTAGTGCTAAGTAAGTTATTCTGATAACTACATTGTAACTTTTATTATCAAACTAATGATGCTAGAGATTCTCTGATCTTTTTGGTTGCGGAATTTTTTATGAAAACCCTCCTATGTGTGACATGATGTGATATTGGATAATTCTCAAGATTCCCAAAACTCAATATGAAGTAGGTTTTCTTTCAGATTGCTTAAATTTGGTTTAGTTTTAGTATTTTCCCAGTGGGTTTTGTTTGCATCAGTTTCCAAATTTTCTTAAATTGACATTAGTCGCAAAACCCATAGTCCACAAAGCTCTTGGCCCGGCCCGCCCATAGCCCGTTAACTAATGATATTTGGGGGCCCGGCCCAGCCCGTAGCCCAGCCCGGCCCATGGCCCGTTGGGCTGGCCCGGCCCGTGGCGAACACTGGTACCGAGGTGAATCATGATGAACAAGATCAACTGAATTCAATCAAGGGCGACTGTTGTAACTCAGCCGAGGGGCGCGACTGGTCGGATATTCATGAGGCAAACTTCTCATGCTGAAGCGCTCTTCACTTTGTTTTATATACTGTTCTGCACTTGGTTATCGACATTGTCAGCCGCACTGTTTCCTAATGCGCTAACTAAGTCAAAAAATGACACCATTGAGGAATGATTTTAGGCATGAGTAATAATCAGATTGAATAAAAGGATCACTTAATACTGACATACCTATACGTATTCTGACGTCAATGATGCAAAGTCATCAATCATCATGCTTATACTCATGTCGTTATTTTACTAGTTAGGGGAAGTTGGGGCAATGCCGGAGTTGGGGCAAAGCCGAAATTCGAGATATTTCGAAAACCGTAAGACATGGATGCCACTTGTCAGTAATGCTCTGAACCTTAAGTGACTACAATTATCGCATGTTTGTTACGAGTCGTCATTCGGAATACTTCGACCGTGAGGGCGCCAAGAGCGTTTTCAAGGTACGTTTCCCTTGTACTACATGCGCCTTTGAAGCTGCATTTCTTACTCATTATGCTACCGTTTGTCTGGCCAATTCGGTCAAGTAATCTTTAGCATGTCTTTGCATAAGTGTGCTGCCTATTTGAAATTTATACAGCACGTTGAAAAGTTATGGGCCTGCAAATGAAAGTATGGCAGGCTGGGGTAATGCCGAAAACGTGCGATTACGCACGTGTTAAAAGCACGCTACGTGGACTTTACTGCTGTAGAATAGCAACGCGTATTTTTAGTCACACAAATTACACTTTCAACCGACACAACGGCCTGTTACCTATAAGGAATGATTTACCTGGCATGTTCTTATTATATCACACAATTATAACTTCCAGTGTGCACCGCGTCCTCAGGCTCTTAAAACGCGTGTCAGCTTTGATCAATTCTGGATAAAGTTTGAGATAAAATGGCAAAACATCAATGTCGGCATTCCCCGTAGATCATTTCTCCCATTTTCGGCTTTCCCCGCAGTCCGGGGCAACGCCGAAAAAGTCACTTCTTTGATATTTTTAGTTTGTGCGCTTAACGGTATGCGAATTCATCAAATGCGCCTGGTATGTTTGAAAGGCAAAAGACTGGCCTCTCGAATGACGCCAACAAGAATAGCTTATGTTGTCTACCTTGCGTGCTACGGGCGTCAGAAAAAAAGTCTTCGGCGTTCCCCCAACTTCCCCTAAATAGATCGATTAGTCAATTTTATTACCTGATTAGTCAGGCTTTGATTGGTACCAAGCGCCGATGAGTGTGATCCACCAAAACAAACGACTCTATTTATGTATTATGCAGGTGTGTGACGGTCTCATCTATTGCAGCTTCCGCGTCCTTCTCTCGAAGTTCCTTCAACCTGAACCCCGTACTTCTTTGTATGCACAGCACATGCATTCTCCATACAGTACGCCACACAAACCAGCTCCGTCAACTCTGCACAGGTGAAGCTATCCCATGTTTGTGCAGAAGATATTCAGTACTGGTCACCCATGCACTTCCGACCCCTCCCCCTCCCTTGCCGCCCCCTCCCCAAGCCGGTCCGGACTCAAGGTCTGGGGGCGGCGCCTCGCGGGGGGGGGGGGGGGGGTCTCGTGGGTAGGGGCACCGGACTGACCCACACAGGCTCAGTGGTTGTTCAGAACACCGTGGACCCGCATTGGGCGCCAGTCGAAGGTCGGGATACCGGGTCGAAACTCGGCGGCTCCGCGGCCCGAGAGGCGAGGTGGCGCATCAGTGTTTGAGGACTTGGAGCCTTCAACATGCAGGTAAGAAGCACAGCTGCTGAGCGTGCCTTGTCGCTGAGAGGACTTGCAGCTCTTGGACTGGTGTGCGATGCCGCCGCTATTGACTTATTGAGTTTGATCGGCTTACCGACCAAGTACGCAAGCTACTGCCGAACAAAGCATCCTTGCTTTGCCTTCGATGTAATTTTATCATTCATAATTATTTTGTAGATTGTCAAAGTTCATAGTCAATAGTTGAACGAACATTGCTTTACGGTCGAGCTGTACCTTCGGCTAAGGCAAGATCAGTTCAATGCAATTTATGATAGTTAACTATTTTCGCAAAGATCGCACTTAACAATTCCGTTTCAAAGCTTTCCTAAACATCATGTTGCTATGCTCTCACTTTACCCTTCATTTCATCGTCCCTCTTTTTTCTCTCTCCCTCCCTCCCTCCCTCTCTCTCTCTCTCTCTCTCTCTCTCTCTCTCTCTCTCTCTCTCTCTCTCTCTCTCTCTCTCTCTCTCTCTCTCTCTCTCTCTCTCTCTCTCCTCTGTTATTTCTACTCTTCAACTTCTTATTCTCTTGTTCACGGCTAATGACCCCTTTGTTTTAACCCTCGCCGGACCTATTGGTTTTCTACATACCCGCCAGCAGAGGGGGGGGGGGGCGGGGTACGACTCCCCCTCGCCCTGGTGGAGCTAGCGCGTCGCAAAAAACGAGCGTGTGTGTCGTAACGGGACGCAGAGATAGGTACCCGATTTTAAGGTCCTAGGTCAACCGATGACCTCTGAGGTCAGGTCAAGTGCCCCAAGGTATGGTTTTGTTTTGGGTGAATTTCTTCGCTAAAAACGGCCGCAGAGCCGCAGTTTTGGCAGAATCGTGTTCGTTGCGCTCAGGCGCGTCGAATTATATACTTTTTGTTTGGGTGAGGTCAACTTAGGTTGTTGACCTCGGGTCACGGACAGGTCAGCACCCCCAGGTCACGAAGTAGATAAAAAAGGTCATGTCGCATATAAATCGATTCGGCAGGTCTTCCTGAGACCAATGGTGGCATTCCCGACTCGCTAGCTCAATTTGATCGGAAGTTATTGACGAAAAACTAATATGACCCTAATGACGTCATAAATGACGGCACGCAAGGTCAACATTGCAAAAGTGACGCATCCAACGTTGCAAGGAGTGCATCAAATCACGATTCTGTCTGCTTGAGATAGTTGGAGACCGTTTCTGGCGCCAGAATAGCAGTTTTCATTTTTCCCCATAAACTTATAATGGTGAGGTCACGAAAATGACCTGATGACCTTTAGGAAAAATCCGAGACATACAAGTTGTGAGACTCGTAATGGATATTAGGTCCTGCAAGTTTCATTTCCCTGTGTAAGCTCCTCTGGCAGTGAGGGCGTTGCGAAGTTGCGACATCTGAAGACCGTGCAGAGGCTCACTTATGACGTCATAGGTCAGTGACCTGACCTGACCCGTAAATGCGGTTGGTGTCAAAAGATCCGGCTTGCATCAAAAGTCAGGTATGCCACGTTTCAGCTCTCTATCGCCAGGCTATTCGGAGCTATCGCAAAAAAAAACTATAGGGGGGGGGGGGAGATTAACCCGCGAGTTGCTGGGGGGTGGGCGTTAAACGCCCTCAGTTTTTTCGCCGGGCCATAGCATAAAAACGGCGCGCCAAAATTTGGGTACCTGTAGGGAATTGATTGAAGTTTATTGTGACAAAGTTTCAAAAAAATCGGTCGGAAATTTTTTGAGATATCGAGGTTTTAGTGACGTCATGATATCTGAGTTTTCGACCAAAAACGGCATATGTTCAAAAAATCATATAAAATCACAAAATAGACATACAGACATGCCGAAAACGCCATTAGACTCCCAATACCATGAACAATCAAATGGCTATCTTCGATTTTTGATGATCGTTCCGCATTTTCCAAAATCTGGAACTGAATCTTGGCAATTTCTCGTGACTACTTCACGACCATGATACATGCATTTCTTAAATTAAACTTTTTGAACGAAACACGTACACATATGATAAAATGAATGTTACCATCGTGTTCTACGCCCAAAATTACCCATAAAACATCTGTCAGAGGCTACGAATATCAGTTTTGATTTTCGGGGATATGTGCCCACCCGGTTGACCTGACCTTGACCCTGACCTATGCTTGACTGACCCCTACATGGAGCTGACACTCTTGTAGGCCTTATATGAAGGATTGTGCACCGTTTTGACAGAGTTTATGACGAGAGGCGCCCATTGCGAAGTCCTGAAGTCCATGCTACTGAAAGCCCGATTTCAGGTGTTTGACCTGACCTTGACCCGACCTGTGACCTCAAAATTCAACTTTAAAGTACTCATCTGAAGCGTCTCGTCGCGCTCTTCCGTTTGCCGCCTCGTGCGTTTCGCTGCGCCTATTGGTTCTCGAGTTATCGGCTGGGGGCGTTTAACGCCCCCCCCCCCCCACAGCAAACGGTGGGTGGCGAAATACCCCAGCAACTGCCGGGTTTATAAGAGCAACATTATGTGCAAAATGTATATCTTGGGATTTTGATATCGATGATCTAAAGTAAGGTGAATTTTGCAACCTCCCCGTTATAGGTAAGTCGATGGGAGGAAATTGAAAGTCGCCTTTTTAGACGGAAGTTATTATAAGCACTCTAAAACACTGATATACTACATAGTATCTTTGACACACTGAATATGAAAATGGCATCCATGACTCCTTTTTATGCCCCTGAGGTCATCTCAGGTCACCAATGGTATCTGACTGTTTTTCGCGAATAACTATTGATAGAGGCATGCTACAGCGATGAAAATACCTTCGTTGTGTTTGACTCGACGATACGGATCGGCTGATATGCAACTTGACCCTTACCGGTCAGATCATGATCTTGACCTGAGGTCAAATTTTCAAGTTGACCTTTCAAGGTCAAGTGATAGTTCATTCGACGCGTCTTGACGAGGGGAACACAATGTTGGTAAAAGAAACTACGTGCAAGGTTTGAGTCAAAAGTTATTGTAGAAAAACGGTATTCGAAAAAATCGGTTTTTTGGCAGTTTTTGTCCCCTGCAGGCAAAACCGTTGACGGTAGGTCAAATCCGAGATAATTGCTCAGAAAGAGCGTTAATAGGGCTATCAAATGCGCTTATATCGATTAGACAACTTTATAGGTGTTGCGTCAATGCCGGATGCAGAACAAAACCAAATCCTACCGTACGAATTATCTGGCTGATCACTGTGCAGTGTGCACCCGTAAGCGCAATTTTTCGGTTCGACTGCCATCCCGTGTGCTACGCTTGGTTGATTTCGCGTGGTAACCAAATGCACAAGAGTAACGTGATTGCATTAATGTCTGCACTCTGCTGATTGTTGTGCCTAAAACGAGCGCAGCATGCGTGACATTTCTATTAAATGCTTAATGAGTTTAGCTGGAGGAGTTGTTGTACCTGTCTACTACCGTGACCTGTCGTGATCGAATACCTAAGCTTTGAGTAAGCAGCAACGGTTTGGCTCGGAGGATAACTTTTTCTCTCCCTCTCCGTCTTCTTTCCCTCTCCCTCCCCTCTCCCTCTCCCTCTCTCTCTCTCTCTCTCTCTCTCTCTCTCTCTCTCTCTCTCTCTCTCTCTCTCTCTCTCCCCATCGGGATAGGGGAGGGAGGGGACACACTTCATGGATATCCTCTCCCTCTCCCTCCTCCCTCCTTTCCTCTTTTCCTCTTCTCAATCAGACATAGGTAGGTACCAGGGCTGGTAAAAAAGCAAATTGCGTCCCCGACCTAAAAATGAGAGCGAAAAATGACCCCGACCTTTTTACGATTCATGTATGCAGGCTGCATGCAACTACGATGCGCGTTTCCTTAGGTTTCATTTCTATATTATTTTTTTTACGAGCAGTCATATGTACTAAATTGCTTATCAGACTCGCGCTTCGAAATTTCCAGTTTGTTAATTAAATGTCACGGCATCACTCGGTCAGCGGGTAGCGTAACAGACGAAGAACCCGGAAGGGGTAGGGGGCGCTACGATCGTCGAACAGATGCAGTAGGTGTCGCTATTGTATCGGTAGCTCACAACGACGACGGCTAGAAACTATCGACCCCGCATGAATTTACCATGTCCAACCAGTCCGACCCCGGTTCCGAATCTAGTCGTTTGTCTAGTCGTATAGCTGGCTACAACTGGTCGTCAATCAACCCCGCTTGAAATAGCACAGCCGACAGCGGGGTCGGTGTCTAAGCGTCTGTTAGTATGTGTTTGATCAGCTAGTTTGATCTAGTTTTCGTTAGCAACTGTCGACGGTAGTTTTGCTGTTAACGGAAGTGAGTTGTGGCTACTAATTGTTCATAACCATGTTGTAGGTATGTATTAGGTATAGGGGCTTTTTATGTCCTTGTTAAAGGGGATATACGTTGTGGATTCAATGATATCTTTTACTTGCGTTTAGTTTCTGCTTTATTTGAAAGTTATTTATTACTGTAAAAGTTTACTAAATGTGGTAATTTTGACCCCGGGTACTTGAACTTTTACTGGTACTGTGTCCCCGACGACGTCAATAGGACATAACACTTTACCAGCCCTGGTAGGTACCGTGCCTACCATTTTTTTTTTTTTGTGGGGGTGTGCCTATCTAATCGTCAGTGTAGCTACTGTGTCTGACCTATTTAACCAGTCTGTATGACTGCCGAACTCGACAGCGTGTCTGACCTGTCTGTAGGTATGTCTAACGACAGGGTCTGATCAGTCTGACCTAATCTGTATGCCGTCGACAGCGTCTGACCACCGTTCCGTGCTTCTATCCTCAGGATACTGAAATCCTTCTCCTCCACGCCGCAACCCCCCTCCGGGCTGGACAGGCAACTTTATCTCATGCGGGCTGCTCCCTTGGAGCGGCACCGCTGCTCCCGAGGGAGCGCACCCCGTAGCCGGGTGCAGTGAGTGCCTTGGGGCTGGGTGGCCTGTCCTCTGCGACGGGCTCAGCCCCGGCGACTCACTAGGGTGCCTGCCCAGACCAATGTCTCCCCCTATATCCTATCATCCTCCCGGCTCTGAAATGGTCTTAATGGACCGAAAGGGCCTAACCGAACAAAACAAAACAAAACAAAAGCGTCTGACCTGTCTGCATTCTGTAGACAGCATCTGACCTATCTGTCTGTGTGTCTGTATATCTGACAACAGCGTCTGACCTGTCTGATTTGCCTTTCTGCCCACAGCGTCTGATGTTTCTGGCTCTGCTGGTAGTGGCTGTGGCCGCCGCCTTCTCCTCCCAAACCCGGCAGGGCCGCCGCTGGGTCTGGCCCTCTAGCGACGCCGAACGCTTCTCCAGCTTCTCGTACCGCTCGCTAGGTGACAGGTCGGTCGGCCGAAGTCTGCGCCGACTGCCGCCACCCGGCGTGAGCCAAAATCGACTGGTGACGTCAGGTACGCCTTCAGTGACGTCACACCAGACCCGAGTGACGTCATCAGAGAGGGAGGGGCAGCTGGTGCTGCCGTTTCGGCCCGGGTTCGAGCGGCGATTATCGCATAACGCCAACGGGGGGGTGTTTTTCGGCATAAGCAGAATTTATGAGCGATGACGGACTCTCCAGCTCCAGCTGTGTGAAGCGATAGTGATATGGGAGTATGAGCTCAAAATGAGTGTCGCTCGGGCATTTTTAGAAGTAGACGGTTCTCAAGTCGAACGTATTGGATAAATAATTATGTGATGTTGCCACATAGTGGCATTTGAACTGTCAACGATGCGATGGTTTAAGAAAATAATATTTACAAACCTAGCCATCATACGCAGGTCTGTTTTGTGGCTGATCATCGCCAGATTTTTGCATAAATAATACAACGTGCTCGTACAAAACGTCTCTTTTTCGTAATTGGCGATTCTTCATAGGTATAGAGATGGACTTCCAACTGATTGATGTTCAAAAAGATAGTCATTGACAGGGGTGTGCCCACACCCTTTTAACATCATGAGAAGTGGCGATGTTTACGCTTGTCCAACGGTGTCAGTGACCTCCTCGAGTGTTATCTGTACGCCAAGCATAACTTAGAGCAGTAAGTTATGTTTGGCGGCTAGACGGCATGCATAAGTTGTTGTTTGCCGCTTACTGGTGCATTGTCCCGTTAGTCCGCTTGGGCCCAATCTTACCAATGCCATGAATACGATTTGGCAGCACTGACCGGAGTTTACGGCACTGATATCAATGACAATTATATCCCTTTTAAAGGAAAAGGGCCACCTTTAACATGGGGATTGAAACTGAGATAGCCATCTTGTAGCCCGTGTCCGAAAACCTATCTGTCTTCCTCCTTACGGCCGATTTCGGCCTCCATTCGTAGTTATCGGCAATTTTAAAAGAAAATACGCCAGGAATGCGTCCTTATCCCAGGAATGCGTTCTTATCCGACAATACAGCCACCCGCGGCGAGGCTTTGGTTTTTTACCAATCAGCTCCAACCAGCTCAGCTTTAACCAATCAGCTTATCTGACACAATCCGACGAGTCTGTCTTCTGAACGCTGATTGGCTTGAGTGTGACGTCATCGCTATGCCATCATACAGTAGGTGCCGTAGAGAGTATCAACATAGTACCAATATGTTAAATAGTTTTAAATACTTTTTCGCGAATTGTGCACTTCTGGCACCAGTTTTAAAAAGAAAATGAAAAATAATAATGTCAAAATGAAAAACAACGATATCTTCATATTTCACGAAGGTGGCCCTTTTCCTTTAATAACACTCAGCTAATTTTGTCCAATGATTTTGATAGCGAGAATGATTATGAATGTTACCCGAACGAAGGAATAAATGGATGTTGAATAGTTTTGAATGTTACCAAATGCCGTGAATGCGCATTCACGGCATTTGGTAAGATTGGGCCCAGGAGTCTGGAGTGCAGTGACGTACTTACGTGCAGTGTACGTGAAGCTGCAGGACAGAGCGACTCGGCCATCTTGCAGAAGCACAAGCGATTCTATTTCTACGGCCATATTTTGTTGGAAGTATGCTGACTAAGAACTATAAACAATGCTTCTTTCTGTTGCCGAACATTCTAATTTTATGTTTCAATTACAAAAAAAAGATACATAAAAAATGAAAAAGAGATCAATTACACTGATTGATTAGGTGGCATTTCACCTCTAATTATGTAGTTCCGTTACACCATGCAGGCTGCGGCAGTTTTGTAAGGTACATGCGACATTCGTGTCAACTGTCGACGATGCTACGTGAGCTGAAAAAGTCAATGTCGAGGTTCGGGAGACGCCGTTGGATTAGCCTCCGGAATCCGGATGCCAGAGGGTTTTCCTTCGGTGGATCATTGCAACACATCACAGCGAGCTTCGCGCTTATCCAGGGGCGTAACTTTTTGGTTTTCGTTGGGGGGGGGGGGCAACGCTGTCGGGGGCGCCTTTTTAAGGGCATGGGGGCGCCTCCCCGTGACTGTCTAGAAATAAGTCTTATTTCAGTTTACGGTGCAGCATTTTTTTTTTTTACCATAGCACGTTGTTTTTGTGCCGTCGTGTTTTGGCACGTTATGTTGCAGTTTTTTTTTTCTGAAATAGCGCGCCAAAAGCGCGGAATTATTTTGTAACCAAATACATTTTGAAAGCACTTTGGGGACCAGAGAGTCGACCGGGGGCGGGTAGTGGAATTGGGGACCAGGGTAGTGACGCCTTATTAAACAACGCATATGGTAGTTCTTCTAAAGAAACGAGACGAACTGATGAATTGACAAAAAGAAAAGAAAAAACAACTGATAAAAAGGCGAGATTAAAGAAACAAATCTGTAGAACTTCACCCCACGCAGAAGCAAGGGACGTTTTTACGCCTCCCCTTTTAAGTTAAGAACACACTTCATACTGCATCTTTTCCGCACGTGTTCTAGAAGCAAACCAGTGGCAAAAATTTGCCCTCATCGAAAAAAAATAAAAAATTGCCCCCCCCCCCCGCCCGCGCCGGGCCGGGGGGGGGGGGGAGTGAACACCTCCCCTGCGGTTTTTCGAAGATATCTCAAAACTCCGCGCCGCCGTTTTTGGCACACCTGTTCATGCATCTTTTTTTTTACACATGTGCAAATTTCAGACCCAGAGCTCTCAAGGTCAGGTCACCAGGTCACGTCAAAAGACCTCACCTCAGAAAAAAGTTGCAATCCTCGTCATAGCTACACCGACTGAACGATCGCCTTGAAACTTTCAGCGATTGATAAGAGTAACAGTATGTCTAAAATGTTTATCTCGGAATTTTGATATAGTGACCTATGGTCAGGTCAATTTTGCGACCTCTCCATTATAAGTCAATGGGAGAAAATTGAAATGAGCCTTTTTTGGACGAATGGTATTTAGAACCCTCTCAAACATCGTTTCATAGGTAAACATGATACACTGAATCGGAAAAAATGCACCTGTGACCCCTCTGTGTGCCCTTGAGGTCATCTCAGGTCATAGACGGTCACCACCAGTTTTTTGGCTGTAACTTTTGATAAAGGCGTGCTAGAGCGATGAAAACACTTCAGATGTATTCAGCTCGACGATACGGATCGACTGATATGCAACATGACCCTTTTCGGTCAGGTTATGGCCTTGACCTGAGGTCAAATTTTAAAAATGACCTTTCAAGGTAAAAAAAAATAGTTCATTCGACGCGTCTCGACGAGAGGAACATGATGCTGCCAAAAGTAATATCGTGGCACTCTTAAGTCAAAAGTTATTGCCGAAAAACAGTTTTCGTGAAAACTGCTATTTTACAGTTTTTGCCCTTTGGAGGCTAAACCGTTGACCTTAGGTCAAATCTGAGAACAATGGTCAGAAAGGTCTGTAAAAGGGCTATCGAATGCGCTTTTCCGCGGCGCTGTAGCTCTATTGGTCCCGAGTTAGCCGTTGCAGTTTCCAAAATTGTTGAAATGGCCTACATTTGACCTTCGATGACCTCAGGCGACCTGACCTTTGACCTGACCCAAAAAATGACCGAAGTGTTTCCGTCATTATTTTTGACGCTCTTTCGAATGATGCTTACTGCGTGTCGCTACGTGGCCCAGGAGCCGAGTTAGACCAGACACCCCCCTCACCGCCCGGCGCGGAAGTCGCGGAGCACCAGCCCGGCGCGGGTTAATCCCAGGCTGAGAGCGTTCAAGCTTAGGTCACCCATATACCTCTGTATACCGAGACATGCAGAAGTCTGTGGCTCACCAGGTGATATCAAGTTATCACGAAATGATAGGGGAGAGTGGGGTGGGTTGTATCAGTTTTTACTCCGAGACCCATAAACTCGTAACTATCCGTGATAAACTCATTATTTCCATACTGTCCCCTTCCTTGATTCTTCTGCTTTTTTGTGCAAAGTAACTTTTCCGCTACCTCTACCAGTTTTTCTTCTACGGTCTGCCGAATAGAACAATGTTTTTGATACAACTTGCCCCATGGCTTGGGTGAGTTGTATCACATGGTGGGGTAATTTGTATCACTATTTCACGTTTCAGGGAGTGTGCTTGCTACTGGTTTTGAACATAACAGCAACATTAAATGGGGTTAATACAATGTATAGGTATGCTCAAAGGCTTCACTTTATTAGACCAAACTTAGGTCAATGCAATCCGAACGAAACATTTTTCTTTTATATTCAGGCCTCCCTCCAACGGGCACTTATGTCCCATTTACAGGAGGGCTCCTCCTCCTCCTGGCCCTTGTTCCCCCGCCCCCCAGGCTACGGCTGAAATGGGAGCCTACCCCACACCTGGTGACACAGCCGGGGACGACGCCCGCGGAACGGGCGGAACCGGGAATCGAACCCGAACCCGGCACCGCCCGCACCGCGGGTCGACGCCTTAACCGACTGCGCCAGGTGGCGGCCCTGGTGACTAGACAACATAGCCCTGGTGACATCAACAGACTAGACGCAAAAGTGGCCCGTTAAGAGCAAAGAAGCCAACACATTGTGCCGAAATGGAACGAGCATTGACTAGCTACCTACAAACGCGAGCCAGGGCTTAGCTTTCGCGATCAAAAGCAACATACCCATACATACATACATACATACATGTTACAACATACCCCACCCGGCTCTGATACAACATGTACCTAGCCGCCATCTTGGAAAAACATCCTCGTGCTAAAAAAAAAAAAACAGCGGACAGCTGGAGAAATCCGTTTTCACTCACGCAGCCTTAGAACCTACCCTCACCACCGCTACGGAGATCTTTCAAATTCGTGCACATCTAAATGCCCAAAACACACATTTTCTTGCAACTTATTTTTTTAGAATGACATTAAAAAAACAAAATCGGCTCTCACCTCGAGACGCGTCCACTCAGCCACAAGACAGAACAGGGAAAGATGGCGCCCGGAAAACCTCGTCGGCTGGTCGTGTCGCGAGCGCCATCCATTGGATAAGTTTGGCACAATTCGCCCTGATACAACTTGGACATGATACAA